GTGTCCTGGGCTGTGGCCATGAGCAGCAAGTGGAATACACTCAAAACAGGGGCTTGACAGGTCTGTCACTGACATGGCATACTGTGCATTTACAGTTAAGCACTGTTGCCATGTTTAGCACTGTTGCTGTAGCGCTCCATGTGCCAAATGAAGTCATTAGCAGACTTGAGATCTGTCATCCATCTGTGCCTGGTATCTGTTCATCCTCCAGTGGGAAATAGCTTTTGGTACAGAGTTGTAGTGGGGTGTAGTGGTGCTAGAAGGTGTCTGGGGAATGTCTTGGTCATTTGAATTAGTGTGCCACTCACATAGCATTTACTGCCCATCCCTTCCTCCTGGATAATGTTTGAGTCTCTTGAGAAGCCTGTTAAAATGATAACTGGTTACAGCATGTTTTGTTAAATATGTGCCGATGACCAAGAATACTCAGCCAGCTTCGATGTGAATGAGAAACTTAATAATCCATGAAGGGTTTTTTAATATCTTTAATTTACATTACATTGGGTTCATAAATTAGGGAAAAAAGTGTTAGTTATGGTTTTCTTCCTGGTGGTGAGTTAGAACACACCAGCTGTGACACACCATTTACAGAGATGGCTGGAGTCATTGTATATCAAAGCTGAAAATGATATTGACCCTATCAATGCAATTTTACCCTTTGGTAATCCTTCTTGTGAGGGTTTCTCACATGTGTTACAAGAGCTGTCTCACTGTGTTGCAGTAATGTACAGGAACACGTCGAGACATAATGATCGATTATTAGTCCTGGTGTTTGTAATTTGATCTGTGCAGCAAGTGTTAGCCAATAATGATTTGTTTTCTTTCCCTTACTCACTTACTGACATTTTTCATTGTCTTAGTGTCCAAAATTCCAAATCTGGAATGTCCTGCTATCAAGTCTTGAGTCTGCTTTATCTAACCCAAATGCAAATCCATAGTATAAAACAATATGAGTGAGGTCTGAAACTGAAAACAAATTCAAATCAGTATGTTTCCAAACTCAAGCCTTCATACCCTGTCACATGCAAACACCGAAATAAATCTTCAGGGCTGTCCTTTAGACTGTGGGTCTGGCACAGAGAGATTGCTCAGACAGTAGCTCTAGACATCTTGAGAACAGAAACCTCCTTACAGGGTAAATCTGCAGAGTTTTCATATCTCACTCAGAGAGGAAATAAAATTTAACATATTGCAGTGATTTTGGTTTGCTGATAAAGCATGCCTGAGTATAATGGTCAGTTGGTAGAGTTGGTTTGCTTTCAGTGTGTCTACCAGTCTGGGATAGATTATGTCTTCTGCTTGGGTTATTTTACTGAGTACAGGATACCTCTCTAAAGCATGTGCAGTCTCTCAAAAGAACAAATCTTTCTAATTCAATCAGCTTATATAATATTGTTTGTTGTTTGAAATAGCAGTTCCTTTTAAATAAACTTGCAGGATTTATTTCCATGGAGCCAACTCAAACACTGAGAATTGATTCTTTAAATTGTTAGTGAAATGTATGGCCAGTCAGGCTATGATGATTAAGCCTTGAAGAGCTCTAGGATACTCCTGAGTAAGTTTTGCATCGCAGAGGTTTGAAAAGCCTGTGGCTCTCCCCTGAGAATTTTTCTCCAGTTCTCATGCTGGGAGATGTGTTGTTTCAGAAATTTTAGAAATTGCAAGGAATTCAACTTCCCAACTATGTGGGCATTTTTCCTTATTTGTGGGTATAACAAACCCTGTGAGTACTCTGTTCTGTCTCTGTATGTGGATATGCAGTTTTAGTGCTGTGTAGCTGGACAGAGAGGAATTTGTAGAGGAATCAGAGGGGACAAGCTGAACAACAGAACAAATTAAATAATTGAAATAAATTATTCTGCAGGAGTTAAGATGACAAGGGCCCTATCTTTGTGAGGAAGAACCCATTTCTTGAAGTGCCAGATTACTGACAATTGTTTAATCTTTCTTATTTTAAAATTTGGGATCACACAGAATCAGAACCTGATTGTAGTATAAGGAATAAGGTAGGTCAGTTAAGACAGAAAAAAAGACAACACATGGTGATTATGAAACCTGAAGGAAATACTGAGATGCATGAGAAAGACTTTGTTTATTTTGCCTTAGATTTTTTTTCCCCTAGAAATGGTGTTAGTTCACTTCCAGTCCCAGTAGGTTTTGATCCATAAATTATTGCCTCAGGAACAAGCTGTTTACCTGTGCTTTCCTGCAACAGTGTTAGGTACTCCAGATTTAGCTGTTATTTGAGCTACACCTGTGAATCCTGGGGAGCTAGGCAAATGGATTTTTCTTCATGTGTTCTGTAAAAGAAATGCTTTCTTCCTTTTGTTTCTTGGGAGGTGTGGTCTACAACATCAATTCTTTAAGTGGACTCTAGGATTGAAATCTTAGAAGTCCCCTTGGTAGGACTGATCTTTAACTTTGAGATTTAAAACCTCTTAAAAGTTTACATCAGTAGAAATGTAGAGGAGATTCAGTATATTTTAGAGACTTGATAATAAATATAAAAGAAAACAAACAAACAATCCCATTCTTAGTTGACAGACTATGGAGATTTCATATTTGACACCTGTTACCAGCTGCTACCTGTCTGTGAAGGATTGTAATTTTATCAGAATTTCTCACACTGTAAGTGACGAGATCTTCCTCCCACCACCACCATCTCAATTCCTCCCTCTTCACTTGCTGAGGACAGAAAGCAGCCATAACAAAGGTTATTATCTGTAGTATGCTTCATATTTGCATCACTGTTCTTCTTCATACTTGAGTTGAAAAGGGGGGAAGATTGTCTTCTAGGTGGTTAATCAAACCTCAGAGCCCCTGAAACTTCTTGTAGCTTTGGTAGGATTGTGTGCAAAATCATGTAGCTCAAAATTCATGGGATGAATTGGACTTCTGCCTGTATTTACATACTTAAATACCTTTTTAGATCTGTCCCTGTGTACTTCAGATTCCCAGTCTCATATTTGAAGCTGCAAATAATTAGAAATTAGATGATATTTCACTGCCTCACTGGGATATTGTGATACAACTGCAAACTGTGAAAATATCTAAAATGGAGAGGTTAAAAAGTGCCTCACAGTGAACTACTCTTGAAAGCAGCTATTGATGTCTGACAGAGCATCCATTCATTTCACATTTTTCTTCACATATGTCCTGGTACAAGAAGGTAATGCATGTTTATGAAAAGAAAAAAATAAAATTATTGTGACATCTGTGTGTAAAACTTTTCACAGAATAGAAAATGATGAAAGTCTCTATAACTCTACAGTGATCAAAATTCAATATTGTTAATATAAACAGTTTTTAATGGTAATAATAGGAGAATTGCAAGGAAGAGGGATTCATTTATTTCAAAGAGATGCTTGACCTCTGCTACTTCATAATCCATTAGAGCTAAGGTCCACATAAACTGGCTTTCTTTCTGTTTTACCTGGAAGGCATTATTTTTTCAATAAATACAAAAATCAAGTCAATATTTTTAGAACTAGGATAATTGCCACTTTAAATGGACTAATCTTTGCTCAGAAGTTGTCTGACACTTATATCCAATGTCAGCAGGAAAGAAATAATTAAGATGTATGCTTTTGGTAATTGATCAGCAACATTTGAATGGGTCACATAAATAATAGACTAATCAAAGTATTGTCTAACCATTAAAAAAAACACATGCCCTACTGCATGTACATTTATTTAAATTAACATTGCTGTCAGAATTTATGAGAAATTTTGAAAGAGGATTTCATTTTCACCTTATGGTTAATGCTCTCATAAATAATAATTTGTCAATTTATAGGATAAGGTATCCTATTAAATTGTTCAGTGCACCTCTTTAAAACAGAGGTGTGCATTTACTGTTCTGGGCAATTACTCTATGGATAAAACACAAATTTCAAATCTCATTTTCATGTCTGCCAAATCCTACTCTAACTCATTTCTGTTCTAATGAGAATTAATGATATTAATAATCTAATGTTATGCAGAAGAGGCCAGGGACTTTTCTTGTATGTGCAGTATCATGCAGTGTTTTTCTACATAAAGTATTTTATTAGTATCTCATTGACAACTAACTAACATTATCTAAAAAGTAAAAAATAATACAAAACCAGCTCTTCCAAAAAAAATCAGATATTTAAAAAATACATTGGAAATTGGGTTCTGGTTCTTGTTTAAGGCCATGCAAATGATATTTGCTAAACATTTGCAAAGTGCTGATCTATCATTGAGTTGAACATGAAGAAACTTCAGTCTGATAGTTTGGGGTAGGGCTATACCTACCTACAAGCAACTTCCATTCTTCTCTACTCTTTTCTAAAATCACTTTAGCTTTGTATTGATTGTATGAGGGAGAAATACACTATCAAGCTGAATATTTGAGATTAAATGAAAGGTTATATTTCTCTTGAATGGTAATTTGAGTGTGCTTTTTTGTGGGATCTTTTACATGCAAACTAAAATATGCACAATGTGAAAGATATGCTGTTGCACAGTTTGGATTTCTTTATGCCCATTTCAGGTTGCCACAGTCAAGGCTGCTATTTAGTTCAAAACTATCCCATATGTATTCTTCAGGCTCCACTAGTACTCATTGAAAAGTGCTGTGACAACCTGGCTTCAGCAGAGTCCCTGCATGGAAATAACCACTCTTTTCATCAGCAGTCACTATCATCTGCTATGTGGTCTCTGGGCCGAGCTTCTCAGTCTCTGTGTAGGGTGGCTTTTTTTTACCCCCCTGGACAAGAAAGTAGGGCCTCTGCATGTGTTTAACCCCACATTTTTGCAGAATACTAATATTTCTGCTTTTGATTGACTGCAGTTTTATAGGAGAGTGTGTCCCAGATGTGATTGCTGTAAAATGAAAGAGCACCAGTGTTGGACTTGAATGTTTCTCATCCAATTACCAATTGCCCCTTCATTTTATTTTGAAAGTTTTTTTTCACTTGAGTATGGGGTTTCCAAATGATTCTGGTAATCCTGGATTTTTTCCCTTGTTTTTACAGGTGACCTGTAACTGTTTCACCATCAGTAATGGAGAGATGCAGGATGTTGGTGTTGGACTGTATCCCAGGTACTGTGGACACTGTTTCATTCACAGGCAAAATCTGTCTTGGTTTTTTTCTTTTTCTCCTAGGTAGCTGTAAGGACCATCAAAGCAGCAGGTAACATGTCTAAACAAGAAACTGGGAAATGCAAATAAATTAAACAAGAATAAAAATGTGATTGAGTTGAAGGCATTCTTAATAGTCCTGATTATAGAGTTAAAACAGTTTAAATAAGATATGTATTTATATTTTATTTTTATGGAGATAGTAGTTTTTTCTAAGAATAAATGCTGGCATAAAAGAATGTGTGAGTGGGACTAGTAGAAGGAAACCAGTTCAACATTTCTTTAGAATACAGATATTTGCAGCCAGGAGCCTTCTGAATGGGCAATTAAAAGAAAAAGATTGAACACATTTATTAGTAAATTGCCATAATTAAGAAACCAGTAAGGTGAAAAAATAAGCCCCTTGAGAGATGGATCTTAATATTTGAATTTCTTATTTGTATTAGGTAAGAAGTATGTACCAGGGAACATTTTGCCTTCATAGAATTACTTACCTGTAATTATTATGTGGAAAACTAGTATGTATAGTTCAAAATTAAATTTACCATTTCAATTTTTTATTAATGCACAACTGAACCATGTTGTCAATACCTCAGTGGGCCTGTCACTGTTGTTTTTTTTTTTTCTACTAATGTCATATGTAAGATTTGACAAAGGACACTTATTATCTTGAGGCCTGCCTTGTGGTATAAGGGAAAAGTAGTTAGGAGGACATGGGAATTAGTAGTATGAAAAGTACAGAACAGCCATTTGATCTCATAGTGGAGTGGAAACAAATCCTTTCACATACTTGGGAAAAATGTAACATTATTTTGGAGCATTATTATTAGAAAAATAATTTATTTTGGTAGAAAAAAGCCCCTGACTGCGAAGAAAGTGGCTATCTATGTTCTGTGATAACGCACTGCCAAGGGATGCAAGAGACTCATTCCCAAGTCAGTTCAGAGCAGTTTGAGTTCTGCTGTAGCAAATCACTCTGAGCTGGGAAAATTGTGAACTTATATCTGTGGTTCCCAAAAGCTTAGATAAATGCCCTTCCAGATGAATTCATATGCTTCCAGATGAAATTGTCATCAAACCCACTGTTGTTTCCACAAGGTGAAATTTGATTAAAAGTGCTTTGATTAGTCTCATTAAGAGGTTGTATATTGTTGCATGGCTTGATATTTTTCACATCCTAATGTATTTTAAAACAGATAAAAACCTGTGGTCCTTCTCTGCACCACCTTGCCAGCGGTTTTGGGAGTATGCCCAGTGATCTCACAATAAGTGAAATGGATTCTTGTTCCTACTGTACATCACTGGGTTCATGCGGAGATTAACCACAGATATCACTTATTAGACTAGAAAGGATATCAAAAGAGTCAGGATCCTGTTGACAGCTCCAAGAGTCAAGAACTGAATAAACATGGTTTGATGCAGGGCATTAACCCTTGGCAACATCTTATATTTTGCCAAGGACAGTTGGGATTTTTAGTTGCTGAATCAGGCAGACAAGGAAAGCAAATAGAGGCAGCCAGGAGCTGGATAGGCCAGAAATTCTCCTTCCAGCTTAATGATGCCAGAATTGTACTTTCGATGGGTCATTCCCATAGGGGAAGAACCATCAGCCCTGCTTCTGCTATGGGACTGATGCTGGCCTGGCAAAGTTGGTTGTTTCTCAGCTAATGAAACATGGGACTCAAAAGTACATAGCGGATGTTGTTGATGTTGTTCTTAAGAGTCTCCTTCTAAAAGGGGGGAAAGGCACGTCTGTGTCAGGAGATCCACCAGTGTGTGTCTCTTGGGGGGTTGCAGCAGCTCCCCAATGAGCTGTGCTCCTTCAGCTGTCACATGCCACTAGAACAGAGGCTGAACCAAAATACGCGTAAAACAGAGTCAATGGCTGTATCTCTTCAAATATGTACACCAAGTTCTTTGGTTTTGGGACATAGTATACTCCATTTTCTGCTTGATATGAAATACAGGTTGATTACTGTTCCTTTGAGCTGTGATTCCACTGATGGTCAGGGTGACTGAAAGGGTTAGTGCCCTGAAACTGAGCTGAAGCAGCAGAAATAAAACACAGTCCCAAGGTACTAACCTTTTATTCTGAACTGTCCAGGTTGCTTTGTTCCCTGCTTGCCTGCCTTGTCCTTTCCCCTGAGTCAGGCCTCTCTTGGGAGTCAGGGGGAGGCCATTGTCTCCCTCCTGCCCCAAGTACACAGAAGGAAGAAACACGCAATAAGATCCAGGCATGGCTCCTATTAACAATGAATATAAATCTTCTAAGCATTAATTTTCCTCTCCTGACCAAGAGCAGCTGATTTAGCAGGGATTTTATTTGTTTCATAACTTAATTGCTTGATACTTCAGATGTAATCATGTTAGCTACTTTTAAATGATTAAATGGAAATGGCAGTGGAGGCTCCTCTGTAAAGTTCTTTCTCTCTCTTTCTCCCTCTCTACCACTCCTCACAGCATGTCTTTACTGAACCACAGCTGTGACCCAAACTGCGTGATTGTTTTTGAAGGATACCAGCTTTTACTTCGCTCTGTCCGAGAGATCCAGATTGGTGAAGAGGTAATTAACTTGTCCTCCCTTCCATCACAGACACCTGCAACGATGACATCTCCCTAAATAAATTCCAGACTGCAGGGCCACCAGCTTAATATTTTGATGATATATTGATGCCAGTTTCTAGTACATAGCTATCAGGGGGAAAATGATAAATAGAATCATCTCTTCACACTGCCTGGGCCCCATAATCATTACTTCTCATAAATCACTAGCAGTCTTGATAAATTCTTGTTCATCCTGTCCTCCTCTAGGCACTTCATTTTGTTTGTATTTGAACGTCTTTACCCTGATGGAAGCACTTACAATACTTCTGGGTGGAATGCAGTGTTCACTAAGTCATTGCAGCAATAAGCATTTATCAGGCTGCAACCATACTGTTGTAGTAAACCTTATATTGACAATGAAAGTAGCAGGACAAAGTTTGTTTTCTTGTCTGTTTCACTAGAAAATACTTCAAAACAACCGTTTCAAGAGATTTCTGATTTGATCTAAGATATTCTCATCTTTGTTTGAATGACAGCATTTGTATTACTTTGTAAATAGTAATTTGTGGCTAGGTAAGCATGTCAAAGTAAACGTATTTTGCAGCAATGCAATATTGAATTGCTTAGTAAGGCTTGCAAAGACGTGTGTATATATGTAACTTTGCATGCACCAATAACCTAATCAATCCTAGCTGTTGGTCATTTCAAAATCATGACCTAATGTAAATATGGTTCATGCCCATGCTTCAAACACTGGGAAGATCAAGGGCATACATATTCTAATTTAGAAGTAGTATCTCTTTTCCTCCCTATGAAGTGTTTTCTTCTTTAATGTATCCTTTCTCTAAGATAGTAGGCCATCAACTTTCCTCTTGGCTTCCCAGTTCACCAAGGTGGGTTGTTCATTTAGAAGTACAGTAGATTTTAATGTTTTCCTAGGATGCATTTGGGTTAATAATTAGAGTTCTAAATTCTGAAGCTATCTTATTTTTATGTACGTGGATATATTTTTCTAGGTAAATTTCATAAAGCAATTCTTTGTAACAAGTGGCTTTTACAGAGTGGGAGAGGCCCTCAGGTGGCCCTGGGTTGTTCTGGAGTGAGAAGTGAGGTAGAATTCCCCTGTGCAGACTGCGCTACAGTTGTGAAGGTATGACCCAGATTTTAGACTTAGTGGTCTGTAATGCACAGAAGTCTCTAGGTTAATATCAGTGATGAAACAGATATAGTATAAATTACAAGTCACTTGTAAGGCAATCAGGAAATAAATATACGTTACAAAGCAGGGCATGTAAGACCAGTTTGTTTGCAGTGACATTGGCAGTTGTATGAATACAGGTGTTAAAATGACTGCGCCTTATGTGGGCATATTATATTTTCTAAAAAAATTTGCCTCCAATGAGGCAGTAAAATAAAGACAGAAATTTTCAAAGAGCTCAGGTTCTGGTGTCTCTGCTGCAGCTACTGCTTCTAGTTTTGATACTGAATGGAAAACTTGCCTTAAGGAACATGTAAGGTATATATATATATATATATATATATATATATATATATATATATATATACACTGTGTTAAACCAGGTGCCCTCTTGACTTACCTAGAAATAAAACTCTTACTCTGAAGTACTTGCTCCTTTGAATAAGGATGAAAACAGGCAAAAGTGAGAAAGATACAATGTGAACATTAGTTTAGATCTGTTATGGGAAGAGGAAGGAAAAGAAAATTATTCTGAGAGTATGCACAAGTCATCAGTTCAACACCCAATTACTTTCCCTTTTATACAACTGCTGCTGTTTTTCATGTTCTGCATGGTAGCTTTGGTAGAACTTTCCACACTGCCTTACTGCTTGCCTGCAGCAGGGTCAGCTCAGGTTTATTAATAGCCATTTACTGAATTTACACACCTACATGCATGAAACTACATTACCTGTTAGGAGCTGAGTTTTTACTTATATTACTGAGGTCATGATCTGAGCTAATGGGAGAGAAAATACATGTTAGGGAGGAATCTGACTGGGTTTTCTGAATAGAGTGCTCTCAAGTGTAAGATGAACATTGTTTCCAGTCATGAGGCAACAAAAAAACTCAAATAATTATAAGCAGTCGAAAACTTGCCTTATCCTGTTCAGACTTACACTAGATTTAGACAGAATGAGATCTGCTATGTAATAATTAATAGAAATTTAAAAAGCACTAAGGCTTGTTAGAAACGAGAAGCTAAGTATCAAGTCAAGCTCAGGTAAGTAGAAGAGGACTATGGCATTACTATCCATACAGGAACAAACTTGATAGGGTTTCTGGACACTTGCCAGGAAAGTATCAACCACTGTAATGGGATGTGTTCACTAGGCCAGTGAGAAGTAAAGTATTTTTGAACTTTTGTAGTGCTTTCTATGAGAGTTTCATACTCATGTTAAGGAGTTGTTGACCACCTATAATCACAGGGGAAACAGACACGGGGGATTGAGGTGACTGGCCACTGTGGTCTTCTCACAATTATGTAAAGAGGGAGGCACCAATAGACCTGATTTTGATTGTAAACCAGAAGAGAGATTATTACATTGGATGTAGCCTCTGTGGTCTGGTGCAGATTTGTTTGGAAATAACATTTATGTTCCGGCCACACTTTATAGTGCTTATGCTATACTAACTGTGTTTATCAAGTCAGTGATAAAAAGCATGCAAGACTATGAGAACCTGAAAAAGTTTTTATGCCCTAATAGAAGTTGTTTTAGTTCAGTTTTAATCTCATTTCTAGGCAGATTTTGTTGGCTTTGCATGGTTTTGACAGGAAGGCATGTGACATTTAGTGGTTTTTAATTGAATTTTGGTTTGAGCTTTGAAATTTGTTCAAATCCTAATGCGACAATCTATCTCAGGCAGTAGAAAATCAGGACTCCTCAGGCAGAAAATGTTTGCCTGAATCTTTATAGAATGAAAGTGCTAAATTTGATGGTGCTGTATATTCGGAAAACGAAAATCAAATGCAAAAATTTTACCCATCTAGGTCTTTTTTGTGGCAAAGACAGTGTTGTCAGTCCTAAAGCACTAAGAAATCATGAGTCATGAATGTTACTTTTTTTATAGGCGTTGAAAGAAGGGATTCATGTATAATTGCATGGTTTCCCAAGTTGAAACTTTACGAAAACAATGTGTATTGCAAGAATCATAATAAAATACTGAGAGTTGGCAAGATGGAGACGTGTCTGATTCTTAAATTTTGCTTCAGTAACCAGCATTTATCCTCAGGTATATTATTTGGGTTTTATACTAATGTGGTTCTGTGGAATTGCATGCCCTTTAAGGGCAGAAAGCTACTATTTTAAACAAAACTACACCACATTCCTATTGGCTTTTGCCAATGAATGCTTTAGTTGATGTTCAAAGTAACATAGTTAATTTCTATCATTATATAACTTTGTTTAAATTGCATTTATAATCCTCATTAAATGTAGAATTTTTAAAGTGAAAATTTGGCTCTGATAGGAAACTTCCTTCAAGCTTAGTAGCTTTTTTCTTCCCCATCCTTGCTCTGACTGTTATAATTCATTTAAGGTAGTATGGGTCTATGCTAATACCCAAATTCTAGTGCTTAACCAGCTGGTGGTGTTCACCACTAAATTTAAGTGTTTTCTGTCCCACAACTGGCATAAAGGGAATGAAACACATAGGAGGTAGAGGAGAGGACAAAAGAAGTGAAAGGAGGACAAGGCTTGGGAGCAGCTAGTGATCTCCATTCATAGACTGGATGTTGACCTGGTTAGAAAGGAACTCCTAACACTCTGTAGACTCTATACCAGGTTTTTGAGCATAATTGAATCTAATAGCAGGAAGGAAGAAAGAAAGAATAGATTTTTGTGGGGATTTTATTGTATGTGTCCCTATGTAAAAGACTAGAGAATTTTTTAAAACTTCCTTCCAGCAGCTCAAAACTAATTATAACACCTTTTTGCTCCTCAAGATAATGCTAGTTGTTGTGCTGACTATCACAGCTTTTATAACTTTAGGTGATGTTACTTTGACAGTATACAAAGATTGCCTTTTCTTGCGCTTTCTTCTTTGCAAAAATTAAGTATTGCAAAGAAAGGTAAGATATGGGGAAGGATTATAAGAAAGCAAAAATTATTCACCTAGAGATCACTGGGGCTCCTTCAGTAACAGCATATCAGCTAATTTACTTTCTCAGAAAGGCAGGCAGCCTGCTCTGAAGAGGTTGTCATCATTTCCCTACCCTTAAGTAACCACTTTAAACAGCATCAAGATGTGTGCTGGAATTTCAATTGACTTTTTGTTAATTACTGTGTCTACCTGGTGTTTTGCAGGCAGACGTGAGCTCATTTTGCCTATTCTCTAATCAGAAGTTGTGTAGCTACGGTTAGTTCAGTGTATGGCTCAACTCAATTAGTCCTGCTGGGAAACGGAGCGTGTTACCTGAGGTCCAGTTGTGCTCCAAAATGGGTGCATGGCTTCTCATCAGCTTCAGAGTTCAGTTAATGCAAATTTGTATCTTTCTGCAAAAAGTCACATAACAGACCACACTCTTACTGAGCAACTGACTTTTAAAATCAATACTAAATACAAATCATAGATTTCAACCAAGATATGTAATATTTCTGTTATTATAATTCTATGAGAAGTTTTATAACTGTGTATGTTTGACACATTACATTTTGTCACATCACATTTTTTGATATGAGATTTTTCCTTGAGTTAGAAGGCATTTAGATCATATATGCCCAAACCCTGTGTCAGGAACAGATTTTTATACACACCCTCCCTAAGATCCTGAGACCTGTGATTGCAAAAACAAGAGCACTCACTTATATTCCCTGATGTTTGCATTAAAATAATTGATTTTAAATTTCTATAGAATCCTCTCTCTAGAAATTTTGTAGCTTATAGTCTGTTACAAAAACCAGATATAAAGTCCAGTGCAGCATGGCAGTACTGGAAAATTGTGTCCCCCTCACTTGGCAGATGAATGTGAGAACCTAACCACCATACCCATGGTTAAAGAACTCCTGTGTCAAAGTGAGAAGCAGGGCTCAGACAGCGCTGCATTTCTAAGCAGAAAGTCTTGAGAGTCATGGCTGTTAATAATTCCCTGCCTTCATAAATGTTATTTAATGTATATTCTCCAGTTCGAGGAAAAAGATTTACTGCATTCTTTATAAGCGATGCAATAAAGAGGCAAGCTTTGGTCAGCTGAAATAATGTTTTAATTAATACCATACATCCCTCTTGCAAATACCATTAAGACAACCTTTGATAAATGGGCATATTTCCTAAATATGTACAAGTTAAATGAGCCTTGCTTCTAATGAAGGGATCCAAAATTAAAACAAGTGTAGGAGAGAGGCTTGAATACAGAATTTTTATGTTTAAATGATTAAATGATTAGTATAGACTTAGTCACCATTAGGTTGGTCATGTTTCTAAATATTCTAATTACATATTCCCACTCAGTCTGCCAGCTACAAACATTTTTTCAGTTATGGATTTTTGCTGGCAGGACTGGGAATTTGAACTTGGGCCTCTGACAGCAAGAGAAACCCTAAGTTGTTAAAACACTAAAAAGAGGTTTCGATGTGATGAAGCCTCGTATCCTTCTCCTTCTGCCCCATCATATGCTCTAATCCAGAGCAGGTTGGTATGTGACTGTTTATATCCATAACTGCTTGGTAACCTCTGAAAAAGAAATTACTGGTTTCAAACTTGTTCCTACTTCTAAGTTTTCTGCAGCATGAATGAAAAAAAATGCTAAAAATGAAGAAAAAAAAAAAAAAAAAAAAAAAAAAAAAAAAAAAAAAAGGATGAAGCCTGTAGACTGAAGATAGATAAAGCATGTTCAATGTTGACTATGCATTTGTTTTGCAGTATTTGAACTGAACCCTGCCTAATGATGGGTCCAACAATAATGATAATATTTAAACCATTGTCCTAAGTATTTTGGCGTTGACTAATCTCACATGAATGATTTTTCTTAGAAAATTCCTACTGTCTTATACTGTGCCTGCGCTTGATTTTATTACTGAGTGCCACCTGAACCTAAGGCCCAGCAGGACATGGGTCAGAAGCAGTGATGTTTATGCAGAGAATAAGAGACAGGGAGCAAGCCATTGTGTGGAATGATTTTGATAGAAGAGACTTGTGAGTTGCAAGGAGACATGAAGATCAAAGACTTGTGATGGGAGAGGGAAGTTGGGCTTGGAATGGCTGAAGAATGAGGTTAGGACTACAGCTTGACTGGAAATGGCTTTATGGGAAGGGAGACAGATCTTACCTACTACACCAGGGAGGATGCAGGGTACGACCAGCTGGGGAAAGAAATGAAGACAAGTTGGTGGGTTTGCTGAAGATGATTAAGAAAACAGAGTAGGGCAACAAGGTCTGTTAACCTGGGAGAGTAAGAGTGTTGGTGATCAAATGTGGGGAAAAGATGTAAGATGAGGCATGCAGGGGAGGCAGAAGAGCAGATCTGGGACTGACAGGTTGATGAAATCAGCCCAGTGTACCAAGAATGGCTATGTAAGAAGCTAGAACCGAGGGCTGGAAATAAGGTTCAGATAACCAGGTGTGGAAAATAAGACTGGAAAAATTATACTCATTACTATGATTCTCATAGAAAATGAGAAGAGGGACAGATTGAGAGAGTGCGGCAGAAGAGACCAATCTGGGAGAAAAGAGTGGAAGAGAAATAGGCAAAATAATTTCCATCCATTCACTGCAGAAATCTCAGAGGGGCAGCCTACAGCACCTTGTGTAAACCGTTAGTACAGACTGTTCTGCTGTAAACCAACAGTGGTGAAGCTAATCCCCTCTCTGCTCAGACATACACAAGCTGGGACAGAACAACATTATATAGAAAGTAAAACCTGGCAAAGTTCTCAGACTTTCTAATTTTTAATTATTTGTGGAACATTAATTTGTCTCTCATTAATTATACTATTTATCTTCAATTATGAGACCATATTTATTTTTTTCCTTAGGCTTTCTGCTTATCATCATTTTAGATGCTTGACTTTGCCATCTCAATAGTCTTCTTTTAATACAGTCCTCCTTCAATATGTAATCAAATAATACTGTAATAATAAATGAAAAACAATCAGTCATTGTTTTATATGCTTGTTAATTGCTTGTTTAATTAGAATGCTAACTAATTTGCAAAATACAGGCTCTGACAATGGATTTCATAGTCATTATAACAAATTGGTCAGGTTTTCCTGTAATTTCTTTGAGTGGACTCTCATGATTTAACTGAGAACCATGTGAAAATTCTCCCAATTAGTTGAAGTGTCTAGGCTCAGGATGAAATAATGTGACCTGATTTTTTTAGCTCTGACCTCTCTGGAGTATTTGAAAACGTGTTGGGTGTATAGTGTAATCACTCAATAGCATGTATGACTCAGTGCTGGTTTGAGCTGGGCTGTTATTTTGTTATATTCTTTCCCTTATCATTAGTTGGTACCTGTGCAGCACTTTAAACATTTGAAGAACTCTACAAATGGTTAGTCCTGTAAAATTTCTTCTGGCAGGCGTCAAAGTGAACAAAATACAGACCTCTCTGTAGTTCATGGGAATTCACTCTGTACAGCATGAGTTGAAAATGGCACAATTTTCATCATTTTCTTTTATCATTTTAATAAATTTTCTGGTCAATAGTTTCAACAGCTTTGACTGCAATGCTTTTGTGCTTCCTTGTTTACAAAGGAAACATCACAGAATACTAAAGATGGGTATGACATAAGAGGAGCTTTCCTCAGGCTCAAACATATATTTGCAAGAAAGCAGGGGCTTCCCTGGGATTACATTTTTGGAGACAGTTGGATGTTGTATAGCACCAGTGCTAAATACACATTTAAGTTTTAAACTAGACAGAAAATGAGATTTCATGCACAGGGAATTCTGATACTGAGCTTTTTTTCACTCTTTGCTTTATTTCTTTTCTTCTCTGATCTCTCATCTCTCCTTTCTTTTTTCTTTTTCTTCCAAATGAGAATGAAAAGTTGAAATAGTGATATTTTGTGGGAGTTTAATAATTTCAAATAATATTGATCTGGAAATGTGAAAAATCGTTCCTCCATGGAAATTATTTTTGGCCTTTTTTTCCACCCTTTATAAAAGCAGTCAATTTCTTCTAGGAAATAATCAGTTAAGATAAAAATTTATTTTATGCTGGAAAAATGTAGTATCCAAAAATATTACCTTAGCTATACATACACTGAGTAAGCTATACATACACTGAGTATGGAATTTTTGTAAAATATACTAACTCCGGTTTTGTATGTTACTGCGCACAGCTCACCATCAGCTATATTGAATCACTGATGCCCACCAGTGAACGCCAAAAGCAACTGATGCGGCAGTACTGCTTTGAATGTGACTGTCTTCTCTGCCAGAATCAAGAAAAGGTAGGTTGAGTGAAGAAATTCCTTGCCAACGAAACTGAATTTTCCAAGGCCTGTCAGAAGCTTCCCTTCCTTTACGTAATGATTATCTTTACTATTTGAATGGCCAGAATAGAGAAGAAAATGACCTCTGCCCTCAGTGCTGTTTATGTTGCTATGAAAGACAACCATGAAGGAAAGAAAAGCAGGAAATGTTGACAACATGATAAGAGGAATTTCTTGCTAAAACATCCATTGTTCATAAAGCTAGGACCACTTTCAGTTTCAAGATGTGGTTCAGATAACTTTGAGATTCAGGGACCTTTGAACATGAGAGTTAACATAACTTTAAGCTGAAAGGAAAATATTATTTTTCTATTCAAAAGAATAATCTTGGAACTTTAACTGAAGCCACTTGTCTGATGCTACAGGAAAACTGTGTTTATCCTCGTAATAATGTTAAATTAATTCTGAGAAACATCTGCATCAATAATTTTCAAGAACTACCAGACATACCCAGCAGTTGTTAGAGAGAGTGGTGAACCTCCTTGGATGACTGTAGTTTTATGCTCTCTTTCACAAGTTCTTGGAGTAGCAGGTCAGTAGTTGTAGTAGGTAAGATTTTGTTCAGTGTGATCTTTTACTAGGGTTCAGTCTAGCTTGATTTAATTATACTCTGTGTTGCTTTATATTTAAACAGCCTTTATTTTGGCTCCAAGCTTGATGAGAGATCAAATGGAATATGCAAAATGAGACTGTCTTCATAGCAGGTTTTGCACTTTATCTCACTAGTTATGTGTAAACGTGTTCTTATTTTCACAAATGCCTGTTTTGGGTGAGTCATGCACTATGGCTAAATGTGTTCCCGGTAGATTAGAAATAGTAAGAAAGGTATTGATGAAAAAGTGATTCCAAGGAGCATGATATATTAAATAATTGATGTACAGCAAAAAAGAAAAAAAAATAAAAGTTTAACTCTTTGTTGGGTAGGACGGTTGTATGTGTGTAGATTTGTCTCCAAGCCAAAGTAGACCCATTGAACACGTAATGTATCCTTTGTTTCATCAGGAAGCAGTTCAAAAAAGAGAACACAGTAAAGTTTCAGGCTTATGACGTAATGCTAAATTACTTCCTGTCCATGTGCAAAATTTGTCGGGATTCTGTGCCTGATAAAGATTGCTGCAGTGCTACTCAGAGGCAGTGAAATGAAGTGAGGATCTCTTTCTGTCTTTTTTTTAAAGATATTCACTCAAGTGCTGTGAAATCTTAGATTAGTTTTGGGGAATGGCAGTGAGAAAAATAAGCAGGCTAAAGAGTCTTTAAGGATCTCTTAACAGTGTGTGAAAGGGTAGACAAGTAGTGTAAAGACCATTCAGTATGTAAAATGTTATAAGAAACAAGATCCACAGGCTGGAGTACACTTTACTGTAAGAGTCAACATACAACATCAACTTGCTGAAATCATGCAACTTGCTGAAAACAAGAGTCTCATACATAAGTTTAAATTAGTTATGTTTCCTCTTTGAAATTTTTAACTGTGGTTTGAGTTCATATTCTATAGATCTTTTTTTGCCCATTGGCAAATTTCCCTGTGGGGATGATACTGCAAAATGTTTGGAAAGCCCTTTGTGACTGCATTCTGAAATTCTGTAGCTTCCTCATTGTTACCATGTAAAGAGATCTGTGAAGGGCTAGGAACCTCATGTCAGCTTTGTCTGTTGGTGTCTATGAAGAAGACATTTTTATCCTTACCTTCAGTCTAGGATGATTAGATATAATCTGCAGCAGTCCTTATAGTACTGCTTTTTGTTTCCCTGTGACAGATTTTATAAATGCAACTGTTTACATGACTAATTTGGAAACAGATTTTTTTATTTTTTTTTTTCCATTGATCTCAGTCACTGTTGGTAAGCTGAAAGTCATGTAGCACTGCAGCTACAGTGGGAGATAATATCTTTGCAAATTCTTGGTTTTCAAATTACAAAATGGCTGGATTTAGATGCTTAAAAGTCATCAGTTGGCAAAATTATTCAGTAAATATCTGCTGAAATACCCCTGCTACTGAGACAAGTTTCCAAGACATTTGGAAAATTTTTCAAGGAAAGTCTTTGTCAACAGAATAGGTAACAGCTGCAACTTCAAGTCATCAAGGATGGCAGATTCAACATTGTGATTCAATAAATATAATCAGCTAACAGTAAATTCCCATATTATAACATTGTTTTGCAAATACAATGGTTTAGTCAACAGCAGTACATCTCATAAATCTTTCTTATATGAAAATGCAAATTCCAGTTTGGCAAAGGAATGATTTATGCCTTCAAGTAAGTTCTTGGGTGTTGAGGATTTTTTCAGTTATCATCTCAACAAAAAACCTAGAATGCTTTTTCTAGCAAGTAGAGATAATAGCTTCTTGTCACTCACAAATTCCAGTCTTGCTGAGTGTGCCTGCCAGCTCCTGAGCACATACTAGGGACAAGTGCAAGCAGACGAATCACTCTTGAGATGTACACATCAATCCACAGTAAAACTTTAAGTAAAGTCATTTCCACTGTAGTTTTTATTCTACATTTTTTGTAATGTTTTAAAAGTGATCCTGAGAGTCCTGTGGGAAATATACATTAAAGTTTATATGAAGGGCATATAAACATTATATGTATTAGTACTTAGTTACATGTATGCTTACTTATCCATATTTATGAAAATACTTTGCAGGTTTCTTAGGAATGAAATTCATGTCTCCTGCTATATTTTCAAAAGGCTTGTTCATTTAGTCTTATATTCCCAAGTGAAGAAATATCAAGTTTCTGTTCTCAAGTTAGTTAGTCACTTCATAAGTGACCTTGAGTAAATTCATTTTATTCAAAAGAAACCTTTGTGTTCTCTAAGACCCTGCCCTTATTTTTCATAGTTGATGAGAAGCTACTGTTTCAATTGGAGGTGAATAGATTTTTGACTAGAAGCCAGATCAGTCTGTATAAATCAGGGACCATTTTGGGGAATGTTGTGTGAAGCTTTGTTTTGCTCAGTTTCCCCAAAATGCAGCATGAAGATGGTGATTCATACTTCTCCTGAATATTCTGATGTACAAAGGATAATAAAGAATCTATATGAGCAAATAACAGATTTAGCCTACAAAATGCTACTAATTTCTCCTTACTTTAGTTATGCATCTAATCTAAGCCAGTTTTTAGCCTCCCTCCATACCCAAATAAAAGGCAAGGAGCTCATTCATACTGTCTTGCAGTAGAGATCTATGAAAACTGGAGTGGTTATAAGAGGTTAAAGGAATGCCTTCAAGAAGATACACATACTTTAGATAGATAACGTTGGGTGAGATAAATTATGCTGCTCCATGAAGCATATATAGACACAAAACCAAGAATCACATGATTATATTTCTGTGCTAGCTGACATGGATAGCAGAGTACAGTTGCAACGATGTAGGTTTCAGCACGCTAACATCCAGGTTGTTGGTAAAATTTTATGCAGATCACTTCAAGGATTTATCTCTGGCTGCTACTGTAGACAAATGTATCTTACAGCCAGTTCCACGGCTTCTTCACTGTTATTTGTGCTAAAATCGATTAAACCTGGATAGTGGTTACATCATACTACAATCACACATTTAGCTATGCATACAAACAAAAGTAGTGTGTCAAAGCGCTCTTTTGTCATTCTAGGTTACGTGATTCTGCAAGGGCTTCTTCTGATGTTTCAAGTCTCTGGTGAACTATGATTTAAGAGGCAACTTATCTATGAAGAAATAGTATTTCTCATTTACTGTAATATTTCATGTCATAGCTATATAAACCAGCAAAATTCACTCCAACATCAGCAATGGCTTTAAAATTTACAGTCACTTGGTCTTTTTAGTTAGATATGGCAACTTCATACAGCATAAGAATTTTCTCTAACCACTGCCTAAGTATACACAGTTCACTTGCACCGTTGTCTAGATCTGAGACTGTACTCTGGCAAAGGCTGCATTTTCAAGTATACTGAAACACTGCAGTCCAATCACAGGGACCCTGTTGAAATTGTTGAAGTTGAGCATCAACTTCAGCTGCTGCACACTAGCACACTCAGTGTGAGCGGACACAGCCCTAGACCAAATGGAGAGGTCCATGGCTCTGCAGTCACAATTGCATTGCATATAGTGAGAGCAAACGTTCCTCACTGGTCACTGCTTATGAAAGGACTTCAAAGTGAATCTCTGCTTGCTATACTGCAATAATTTTTTTATCTGCCTTTCCAACAGTTAGCACAATGATGCAGTAATCCAGGTGCATAGCTGTCATCAAGGATGAGAAAATCTGGAGGCAAATAGTGGCAAGTAGCTGGATCAGTGTATCTCAACTACTTTTTGCTTCCTGGGCCTCAGTGTCAGATGCATTTTGATTCTAAGAGGTGATACCAATAATGCTGGCTAGACTCTTTCAGCAATGGATCAAGCAGCCTGGCTGCTGATTTTACAAGGGAAGAGTAGCAAGTGTTAACACATTAGTGTAAACTGTTTAAAATAAGATTAAGGTGAACCTTTTGGCAGTACAGTTACTGCTAAATTAAATGGCACTAGCTACAAATCTAAACAATACTTTTAATGGGTTTTGGCCCAAGCTGAAAAAAAAAAAAATCAGTAACTAAAAAAGGAGGGAAAACCCCCACGTGTTTCTAAAAGTGACTCAGAATATTTCCTGACTGTCAGTAGTTTAAGTTATTGCTACTGTAATGTCTTCAGTTCATTGTATCTCTGACAGCTTTATACATTATTATTTGCTCCATTTTAAGATCAATCTCCACTGTAATGCAGAAATGTGTGCCTTCCTAAAAGCTGAACTCTTGGCAACGTATTACCATTCCAGCACATAAAAGCCCCTTACATTAATTATAATTAAAGATAGGATTACGTTGATGACAAACATCTTAAATGGAGAGCAGTTTTTTCCACAGTCATGAGCCAGAGTATTGTTCATGTTCTACATTTTCAGCCAAGGATTTCAGGGAGATTTGTGCTTATAGAA